AACTAGTACCAGCTGTACTAGTAACTAGTACCAGCTGTACTAGTAACTAGTACCAGCTGTACTAGTAACTAGTACCAGCTGTACTAGTAACTAGTACAACTCATGCAGTAAAGGTATCAGGTGGATGAAATGAGATATACCCATGTAAGCACTTGCTTATTGCATTCAGGACAATTTAAAGCAGGTGTGTGCATCCCATTGCCCCTTGGCCTGCATGCGGGGCCCTGGACAGCAGCCCTACAAGATTGTAAATGTTTAACACTATTGTGTGATTCATATGCAGTGCATTAGCTTTATTATATATGCTTTATATACAGCCCAAAACAATTCCTCTTCACTCAATGCAGCCCAGGCAAGCCGAAAGGTTGGACACCCATGAATTAAAGCTTCCGCATGGTTTTAAAGGGAAGCCCCATGTAGAGCATATTGCATGTAGTAGCTCAAGTGAGAGGTCTCTAAAGTATGATTGACCATGAATAGGTCTTCCCAAATGATAAATGAGCATAAATGCACCAGATATATCTGTGCAAAGAACCTTAGAGGTTGCCACTTGCTCATTGTCTTTTTAAGAATGAATTTAAGACCATTCCACCTCCGCCAGACTCCATTAGACTCCAGGCACTGGGGACAGGATTTTGACTACTAAGCATGGTTAGCTTTTGGCCATATATTAATCCAAGCTGTTCTAAAGGTAAGTAAGTTGACAGTTCTCACTGCATCTTGTTTACATTTAAAAGTTCTACATGAGATGGGTAGTATAAGAAACTTCAGGGCTGCTTGCTGTGCCTTACAGAATGATACATAAAACTTTAATTCTGGTGCGGTATGTAAGCTGGGTCCAAAGAATAGCAATAGCAATAGCAAACTTTGAGGGCTTTCATGCGTTTTTTCTAAATTGACTAAGCTTACAAGATTTGTCAATGAACTGTTCTTGGAACTGCATACATTTGCAGGTGAAAATAATTTTGAAAGTAAAAAACGCTGTTATTTTCATGTCATCCTTTTGTTTTTAAATAACATAGCAAATGTTCTATTGCGTGAGATTACAAGGATGCCCATGCTTTTTCTCCTGCCATTTTTAATGCCTATAAGTATTTCATTCACAATAATTAACTGCTTAAAATATGCTTCTGCTAATTAGAGATAGATTTTAATTGATAGTATTACTGATTTACTTTTAAATAATCAGGCTAACTGATTCATTGATTAAGCTATCATATCTTATAAAAAAGAAATTAATTGTTATGCATATTCCTCCTGTCAAGTCCATTTTAGAGACTTATATTTCTAATCATTAGGAAATATTAATACCTATAACTTAAAATTCTGACAGATTGGATTAATTTCAATTACTTCTTCCATTTAGGTTTTGCTTGTAATGGATACTAGGACGCAACAGACATATATATTGAAGGTAAGTTGTTATTTTTCTTAAATCATTCACTTTGCCGATGGTGACCTGTTTCTCACTGCTTAGACTTCCGTCCACAAAATCCAGAATGCAGAATGTCATCAGTCAGGTTTATGAAGTTTGTGTTTTATTTGTTAATCTTCAGTGGCAGGCTACAGAACTAATACATGATTTCTGCTATTGGCAACACTTATTTCTGCTTTGACCATCAAAGGAAAGGGAGTTGTTACAGTCAGTGTCCCATGGCATAGTTTACATTTTCTTCACTGAAATATCTAGGTCAGTTCAATAGTGGAAGTAGTAAATATTGACATTAAAGTAATTCTTCACTCTCTCCCAGCACTTGTAGTGCTTAGTTTGCCATGATTCATGATTACAATGAATGGGAGAGGAGATAATTCAGGGGCCATTACTGTACTCATTTATGGGGCTTTATACATAGCTGTTGTTTTCCTTTGTTTCCCCAGCCCACCTTACTTTGCTTTCTTAGAATTCCTCATTGTTGGCCGTGTTGGTTGAGATTGCTACAAGTTGTGGTACTACAATATCAGGGAGATCACTCCCCATCTATAGGATATATCACAAAGCTTCCACCCTTCATGATGCCTTTGCCAATATATTGGAGCCTCTACTGCTTTAGAGTTTTCTATTCCTATTCATCTAATACTTTCCCACTTGAAGAAGCCTTTGTTTAATTTGCAAATTTGGAAGCGGCATGAAGATGACAAGGCCAGCCACAAACAATGTATGAGATGAGAGAATGGCAATCCCGCATCTCTTTCTCCATTTCCTATTATCAAATAATAAAGCTGAATGAGCACGGTTAGGTCACTAAACAAAGCGGAAGGTTAGCTGGAACATTTGCATAGTAGTAATGCATATTTTTGTTTTATTGCATTTGTTTTATTACATTCCTCCTCTTGACATTGCCAAGAGACGAAGAGAATTAGGGCTGGGTTCCCCCCCCCCCCCAGCAATAGCTGGAGGTCATGTGAAAACTAATTGTCATCTTCGGTAATTCACCCACACTTTATTTATCCGCAGTGCTTTTTTTTTTTAATAAGGTTTTTTTTTTAATGTGTGCCATCTTTAAAAATCTATAACACCTTCAGGAAACAAAACCACATTACCAGTCTATCTTCCCTTCGACCCAATGGAAATGTATGCACACTCGAGTCCATCAAATGGAAGGTGGGGCAAGACGGCCTTTGGAATGTGAATGGATTTAGTGGTTTGCTTTCATCCTTAAAGCACAGTCCCTGCCCTCCCTGCCCCTCCCCCCCAAGAGATATCTGGGGGAAAAAGGTCGTAGAGAAATAACTGAGTGTCATTCTGATGACTTGGTTTGTGAGAGATTCTAATGAAAACATTGACCCATGTAATTGATTTTAATGGCAGCTTTGTGCCATCTTCTGTTCTCTGGATGTGCGCCAGATGCCATCAGCAGGGCCTCAGGGGACTGAGGGGCACAGAACAGCAGATGAGTGGTTTCTCTGAAGCCTGGAGTAACTTGGATAGATTAGTTTGGTTGATAAGCACAGAGCACAGCATGCTCCAAAGGCAACTGAGGGTACAACTGACCTTTCTGTTCTCTGTCAGGGTCTAAGAAAAAGTAGCGAGTGCAGCAGGAAGAGAAAGACCATCATCCCCCGCAGTGTACCCAACATGGTGGCTCTGCACAAGTACATCATCTCAGAGGAATCGGTCTTCCTTGTGCTGCATCACGCAGAAGGTTGGTCTGTGGATTCAGATGAGCTGTGGGAAGGGGAGGGGAGGCAGGGGAGATGGGAGGGGGAGAAAGAAAGCCTCAGCTTCTTCAGGTGATGCTATGCAGATGTTAGAAGCCCATCTTCTGAATCAAAATTTTGGGGATTGTCTTGAACACTGTGGCAAAGGGTGTTGAGGCAAACATGCTCTTGGTTATGCTACATTATTGCTTTTTATAGTTTACATCCTATTAAAGTTCTTGTGGCTCCACTGTTCAGTAAAGCAGCTGCCTTGGATCTAAAGCTTTTAGATTACACAGGCCAAACACTTCCTTAAGGTGCCTTTTGAATAAAACAGTGAGGTAAATATTTATCCCATGCACTGATAGCTGGTCTGTTTATTCTGTTTGCAAATCCTTTCTGCTTCAAATCATTATTCCATATGATGCTCCTAGAACAAGTGATAACAAGCGATAACAAGTGAACAAGTGAAATTGTCTTTAAAAAGGAGCCTATCTGGCTGCAGCCGTCCTGATCCAGATGGATAAAGGATATTTGTATGGCTTCTGTATGTGTCAGGCAGAAACTCCACTGGAATCTGTGAATGCATATTGCTAAATCTTTAGATCCAGTCTGTACATGAGGGGCAGGAATGGTCCACTAAGGTACTGTTTTCTTCAGGGAGACCTATGGGTCACACATCTACATGGCAAGCATGTTCAAAGAGGTGGAACTTCGATTGCGGAGTTTTAGACTAGCCAAATCAGATTTTAGTTAATCAGTTTAGTTAACTCGTTTCTCAAGAAAAGGTGAGAAATGCTCCAACAGGGCCTTGCTTACCCTGAAGTAAACAATATGAATTGAAGAGAGAAGCATATTCATTTCGCCAATTGCTTTTTGATGCCTCCCAGCGGAGGCTGCTATTTTACTTTTTTTAACAAAACAATAGTTATTTTGTAAGAATAATTTACCTATTTGGGCTCAGTGGGAATATTGAGACAAATTCCTTGGCCTGGGTCATATAAACATGATTTACCTACAGGCAAAAAACCCACAACTCCTTTGCCTGTGTACAGTCACATGTTAAAAAAATCACCATGAATGGAATGAATCCTAGTTTTGGCTAGTAATAGCTTCTGGAGTGATCTCTAGTGCTATTTCTAATTTTGGGAACTATGTTTACATGATACAGTTGACTCACTCAGTAGCCATCTAATGTAAATACAGTGGTGAGTTGGTGGCAGATTCTCAGAATTTCACCTCAGAAATTTTTGAGAGGCTGTTGCTTCCTGTTGTCTTTTTTTTTTAATGAATTTGTTTAAAATTCATAGTGACCCAATTAGGATGGGCATTGGAACTTGCCTGCTCTTTGGCACTAGCGTGCCAGTAAAGTGATGTTACTTAGGTCACTGCAACTAAAGCCAATAATTAAAATTTTAAGGTGCCAACTTACCATGGTGAGCTTTACCTCCACACAGAATTACCATCTGGAAAAAATTGTATATGGGTAGGAGATGGAGAAACTCCAATTACATGTCAAATAACTGTAGATTAATTCCTTCTACTTTCACCCATCCCTCAGTCTTTCCACAATTGCTGAAAGTATCTGTTTAATCTAAATATTAAGTAGGATTTATAGGATCTAAAAAGTTAATGCCTCCATTGAAAATAAGGATCAGTAATGAAAAGTTTTCCTCTTTTTCCCAAGCATTAGCACTGAATCCAGTACAAGCCTCCGCCACATTACAATGTAGTAAATGGTTTGTTAAAGGTGAGAACATTCATAAAGCATCTGTTAGTTTTGTCACAAAGCACTTGGCAAGACATGTTGAAGCTTCACTACTACTTAGTGGCATCAGTGCCAGAAATGGTAAAAACAGATGCTTCAAAGAGAGTCTTGAGGGACATGAAAGAAGATTTTGATGGAGATCAAATTTAAACTTGAGTGGCTGCTGGGAAGTGTCAAATCTTTTTCAGTATAAATGTGTTGGAATTCATATTCATCTGGAAAGCACACAAGAAACTTCGAAATGATGATGTTTCCTGTTAATGAACACTAATTCTATAGTAGCAATGTTTGGTAGCCCTCCTCCCTGAGCCTTAATGATCATATGTTGCCCTAAGAGCAGGAAACAGAGAACTATTCCCTATTCTAATTTTGTCAATGCTATAATTCTTTAGTATTGAAATTCTGAGTCAAATTCCGAGTCAAGAAAGGTAGCCCAACTTCTTTTCTGTGGTTCCCAGAAGGCACCCCAGATTATGTCACTAAAACTTGGCAGCAAGGTCATTTAAACATAAACAGTACAGTAAGTATGTTAAACCTCCACATAGGCTTCACACAGCTGTTCTATCAAAAAGCTGCCACCAATAGTACTAACCTCAAATTTCCTTGCAGCCATTAAAAAGTGCTTTGTCATTCCCCTATTCTTATAACCATACAATGTCCACAAAGGTTTGCCCACTTTCCCAACCCCAAAATTGTTGAAGCAATGGTTTACTTCCATCACAATTTGGCCAAATTTGTTTGGTGTGCCAAATGTTACATCACATGCTCTGTGTGTCAGTCAATTTTCTCTTTATGCATCATGTTGGACATATGACCCTGGGCCATTCCATGTTTTTATTAATAATTTGAAATGAAAAAGTTGGGTTCAGGGGTGGGTTGCTCCCGGCATTACTGCCGGTTCAGTGCGTGCAAAAGTTTTGCTCGTGTGTGCTTGCCTCGCGCATGTGCACACCAGATACAAGCTCTGGGCATGTGCACATTTGCACAAAATAGGTCTGCGCATTTGCACAAAATAAGTCTGTGCATGCACAAAATGTTAAAACAAGAAATAAAATTAAATTTGTGCAATTATAATTGTTCTGCGCATGTGCAGAACCGAAAATCAAGATGGTGGCCCCATAGGAGAACTGGTTAGGGGTGTGTGGCAGGCCTGGGCCGCTGCTGGTTCCAGCGACCCAGGCTGCCATATCACTACCGGTTCAGCCAAACCGGTCCAAACCCATAGGAATCCACCTCTGGTTGGGATGCTTAGAAAGTTGAAGATGACATAATGTGGGAGGGACAGCGAATACTTTAGATCAGGTGTTGCCAAACATTTTATAGAAAGCCAGATCCTCCCCCATCTCTGTGCATGCAACTGGCTAATCTATAGGCAAAAGGCCACCAGCTGGGAAACTGCTGATAGGCTGCTGTTGTTTCCCAGAATGTCACATCCCTACCCCTTGGCCCTGCCCATCATGATGGCAGTTTGACTGAAGCTCAAATCTAGCAATTAGTTGCCCACCCACCCACCCGTCTTACTCACGGGTTGGAATATCCCATGCTTTGCATACCTGAGACCTCATGTATGTCGCCAAACAATATTAGATTAAGAACCAGGGTTTGGAGGATGAACATTCCAAGAAGTGTCAGTCTCAGTCTTTCATTTGTAAATAGAAATCAAATTCGTAATCTTCACAGATGAGTTGTGATGTTAAAATTAAATAAAGGAAGCTGAGAACCACATGGAAACAAGCATGCCTCAAAATGAGTCTTGTTAGAAATTTTATTGTAAAAGAATACAAATATTTGAAAGGTAAGATTTATGGAAACTTCTTTGAATCAATTGATTTCCCCCTCTCTAAATATGGGTAATTTTACATGGTAATGGATGGCCAATAATCAAATACATTGGCTAATGCATTTACTCAGTCTTAGCTACAGCAGTATAAATGAAAAAGATTATTAGTGTGTCATTTATAAAGACCTAATGATATACCCAGATGGAAATATTGCTCCTCTGTGACCTAAATTGGACATTTGGGGGAAAAAAAAGAATAGCATTGTTGATTCCCCCTTTCAATATGTACAATGATGAAAAAACATTTCTTTGCATATTTGCATTTTATTGCTATTCTGTGCATACATACATGAAATAATACTTGAATTTTGATGATTATTCAAAGGATTATTCGTGGTTTACATCAGCGGTCCCCAACCTTTCCAGCTCTGTGGACTGGTGGTGGCGGCAGCGGGGGAGGGGGGCAATTGTTTCGTGCATGTGCTGCTTACACAAATGCAACTTTGTGATCTCATGCACTTGCCTGCTGCTTGCATGCCCTGGTTCCCAACAAACCATGGGCCAGCAGTGGACTGGGAATTGGGGACTCTTGGTTTATATCAAGCTATGTACCATATACCAGTGAATGTTTCTTTTAGTTAAACACGGGTGTCAAACTTGATTACGTCACAAGCTGATCATGATGTATCGTGATATTTTTTGCCTTTGCAGAGCTGGGGTGGGCATGGCCTGCACGTGACCTATTGGGCCCACGGGCCACCACTTTGACAGGCCTGAGTTACAATGTTAATGTTTGCAAATAGTTGTATGAACACCTTCTCAAACTTTGGAGAATGCTGATAAAATAATGGCAGGCTTCAGAAAGCATCTCAAACTTGGAGCTTAGAAATAGAAGACGGTCTATTTCTTTATACACATACACATAGGCAGTACATATATATATTTCAGTGGTGGGTTGCAGGCGGTACGCCCGGTACGGGCACATTGGATCCTGCCCGGAGCACCGGGTATTGTTCTGTACTCCTTACCAGTGCTTTAAGCCTTTGGTGCTTCTGTGCATGTGCATGACACGTACAATGCTTGCGCAACGCTCCGCTGAACAGCTAGAGTATCGCAGAGGCTTGCGGAAGTGTCATTTGATGCTACAACGCATGCGCGTGCTGTGCGCATGCATGTGGGTGACACCGGGGCCGTTCCAACTGTACTGTTGGAACGGAATCCGGGACACACCACTGACCTATTTGTGCTTTCTAGTCAGCGTTTACTCCTGGCAATTGCCTGGTCTAGTTCCTGCAGCATTTTAAAAAGTGGTTTGCTATAGCCTCCTTTCTAGTGCTGAGACAGAAAGAGAGAGAGAGACTGGCCCAAGATCACTGAGATGACCTCACGCCTAAGGTGGGATTAGAATACATGATATTATGGTTTCTAGCCTGTTACCTTAACCACTACACCAAAGTGATTCTCAGTAGAAATACATTTATAATAATTTATCAAGCACAATCACTTTGTGGAACTAAACATAGTTCCCTTACCCCCAGGGACTTAAAACCTAATTTTAGGTTGGGTGGGACAGTAAAAAAAATTGCTATTTTAAAAATGGGAGTATGGAAACAAAAGGCCAGAATAAACAACAGCTGTATAAAAACAGATGTAACTGCAGGTAGAACTTTGTTATCTATTGGTGTAAGTCTCATAGCTGAATTGTAAACACATTTTACATTCTGATGGTCCTAGCTTTAAGCCCTAGCATTTCCAATGAAAAGCTTTAACATTTCCAGTAAAAACTATTAGGTAATAAGAAAAATCTGTTTTGAAAAGCTAGCGAACCATAGCCAGCTGTAATAGATAATACTGAGCTACATGACAATTAGGCGGTGTTAAAGCTTTTTTATTATTGTACCATAAGAATTCCAGAAGAGCTTGGTTTTAAATAAAACCACTACCATTTAAGGCTCATTCTGTATGTAAAAGCACAGTCCAAATTTTATGTCTTATCCAGTTAGCCCTTCTTATGTCTTAGCTGCTTAAAATCTATTTGATAAATATGTATGTCCGCATCTGTGAGCTGAAAGAAGTTCAGATGAAATGGAGTTTGTGTCTAGTTTAATGCTTTTAGCCATTTCTATGGGGTTTAAAATGTTTTTTATGCTATCCAGAATGCATTAGAGTTGGGTGGCCAATACATTTAAATAAATGTCACATTTTAAATTTCAATAATTTATTAGCAACACACAAAGCTCCCATTGGCTTCCATTTTGAGTTCCACTTAAAGCTCATAGTTTACTTAAAATATATGGTAGATCTAAATTGAGGTGATAGTCAGCTGACCTATGGCCTCAAGATATTGACAGGTATTTGCAGCAATGTGATTGATAAACTATATTTAGTGATCTTTATTGGCTATGGATGTCCTTCCTGCCATGGAGCATATATGTGAATGTGATACAGAGATGAGGGGATTGAAACTGGTATCCCAATGGAGGATTATTTTTCTTTTTATAACTGGGGGTGAGGATAGAGAGGGAAAAAAAGCAGCAAGCTCCCCACAAAACTATTATTATGGTTTATTGCACAGTCAGCCAGATATTCAGACTGGATTTGGCATTTTTATCCACCTATCCAGTCCTTTCCAAGAACCTGGGATAGGCAGATGTTGTTGTCTGAAGGTGTTAAAGGTATCACTGCAGGATGTAAGCTGTTCCAAGTAAAGCTGCCTTTTGCAATTGACTGATGGTAATTTTGTCAATGCTGATGATGTTCAAGTAATATTCCAGTTGTTTTGAGATTGCACCCAAGGCATCTATTACTATTGGCACTATCTTTACTTTTTTGCCATAGTCATTCTATGTCTATTTGCAGGGTTTATATTTTGTGATTTTCTTCATTTTTCCGCTCTTCTACTGGGCTGCCTCCAGGTACTGCCACATCCACTATCCAGACCTTTTTGTCTTATCAACAGTTGTTAAGTCGTCTGGGGTGTTATGTGGCAGATCCTTGTTTTTTTTTTAATTCCAAAACCTCAGATTATTTTACTTCTTGATTTTCTATTACTGTGTCATTACTATATAAACAAGAATGTGAAATAAGAGCTGCCTATTCTTTAGCAGATGTTGGTCTTTATATTTGTTGAGTTCTTCTTAACAACTTAGGGGGTTGTAACTGCATAATATATGTTAGATGCACAGATTTTCTAACTGCTGCCCAAGCCTTTTTGGTATGGCCAAATGATAACCACTGGAACCACCATGGCTAGATTATGCTATAATCTTTCAACTTTGATTTTCAGATCTCAATTTGGGCATTCTGAACACTTTTCAACTTGGTAGATGTAAAATGCATAGTTTGTGTAATTTCATGACTACCCCCCCCCCCCCCCCAGGTTCTTTTGTTACTTTCATTGCAAACCATTTAGAATGTTTAAATATCATTCTGCTGAAGGATGGATGGTCTAAAAATGCAGAAATATCTGATCACCTAATTGTATTCTGTTAGAAGATAAGAGTGGATAGCACCTTCTACTAATGTTAATACTTACATATATTTTCACCATAGTTGCCATATTAGTGCCATAGTTAGGCATTAATGAAATACAATTAACTTTGGTTACTTTGTTTTTTCTTACAGGAGGCAAACTTTGGTCTTACATTAGTAAATTCTTGAACAGGAGTCCTGAAGAAAGCTTTGAAGCCCCTAAATCCAGAAAATCTAGCTGTACCAAAATACATTTGCATCAGGCAAGTCCTAGTCCTCAGGACATCAGCAGTAGCCTTGGCTCCAGAAGAAGTAATGGGGACAATGTGTTAAAGGTTTTACCACTGCAGACCAGTCTTACTCCAAGTTCTCAAGACGGTAGTAGTAACCAAGAAGAAGAGCAGGAAAGTTCTCCTAAGTGGATTGATTCCGGGTCTAGTTCAGAAGAGGAATGTACCACAAGTTATCTAACATTATGCAACGAATATAGTCAAGAAAAAATTGACCCTGGTTCATTAGATGAGGAATCTCTCCTGAAACCAGATGATAATGTTCTCATTACCAAAGAGCAAAGAGGCCTCCAAGCTGAAGGTGAAGTTGCTACAGGGAACCTGGAATCTGCATTCACATGTCAGGAAATAAAAGAGTTTGCTGATGATGTGGATTCAGAAACTGCCAATCCTACTATGATATCAGAATCATTAAACAAATCCAAGAACAGCCCCATGGAACTTTTCAGAATTGATAGCAAAGATAGCACCAGTGAACTTCTGGGTCTTGATTTTGGAGATAAACTTCATAACTTAAAATCAGAATCTTTCAAGCCATTTTTTCCTACCTTAAATCAGGACGAGAGCCTTGAAGTCATTGAAAACAAATTAGGCTTTGCATCTCATGATACTATCAGCAGGGGTTCTAATGACTCTGTGCCTGTGATATCATTTAAGGACATAGCCTTTGATGAGGTTGGTAGTATCGATGAAGGAAGACCTGACCTTTTGGTCAACCTGCCAGGCATTATAGAGCAAATGAAAGAAGCTCCAGTGGACAGACCAACAAAACTGGTGGAACAGAATGGAGACATTTTGGAAAGCAAACTTTTGGAAGCCCCCGATGTCTTGCAATTGAATAACAGTGCAGAACAAAGCAGAGTGCTTGAGCAAAAGATAGAGCATCTGAAGGAAGAAAAATCACAAGGACTATGTAAAGACAATCAGGAAACAGCTAGGACATTCCCTACAACTGCTAGTGACTCAGTTGGTTTTGTGGATAGGGTGGCCTTTCAAGAACTCGGAGAAGCAACATCGTCATCATTAGATATCTTCAGCATAAAGGACAATGCCATGGTTGCCAGTGCACAAGTGGTTGTCATGGAAGACAGCTTAGACGTGGACAGTGAAGCTGTGTTGCTGTTTTCTGATCACCCTGAAGAAAACTGTAAAGAGGGAACAGCCCCCTCTTTGTCACGCAAAGCAGAAAGCGAAAAGTTGGATGTGAGGAGCAGAGGAGAGAATGAAATACATTATTTATTCCAGGACTTGGATGAGAGATTAGCACTAACCTCCAGATTTTACCTCCCTGAAGGCTGTGTTCAAAGATGGGCAGCTGAAATGGTGGTAGCCCTTGATTCTTTGCATCGAGAAGGAATTGTGTGCCGTGATTTGAACCCAAACAACATCTTATTGAATGATCGAGGTCAGGAACTTTTGCAAATGCATTTCTTTTTATTCGCTGTTGCTCCCAATTAACTGAGAAGGCGTTTTATCTTGTAATTAGTATCTTCATTTCCTGTCTAGAGCTTCATTATCAGTGCAGCAAATTCACCCCCAGTAATAGCTTCTAGTACTTAATGATGCCATTATTCTTAATGATACTGTTTTTAGCTACAAAAGGAGTAATTACAGTTCACTTCTGCATAAAATGGAAGGGAAAAATGTTTTGATTTCTCCTGTCGTTTTGTTTTTAGGACACATTCAGCTAACGTATTTTAGCAGGTGGAGTGAGGTTGAAGATTCCTGTGACAACGATGCCATAGAGAGAATGTACTGTGCCCCAGGTTAGAGCAATCACCTCAAATGTTTCACTTGGAAAACAGATTAGCAGCTTTCATTTTCTCACGGAACTTTCATCCCATTCTATCCGTTCTCTGTTCTTGGGAATATAAACTATTCAGCATCTGCTAACACCTTTATTTTATATATATATATATACATACACACTGTGTGTGTATGTGTGTGTGTGTGTGTGTGTGTGTATGCATGCATGCATGCATGCATGCTATTTTGGAATATGATATTCTAAACATATGAAAAACAGTTGCAGGAATTGGGTATGTCTACTTTAATGAAAAGAAGGACTAGGAGTAGCATGAAGAGGGAGTCAATCTATTCTCCAAAGCACCTAAAGCAGGACAAGAAACAGTGGATGGAAACTAATAAGGAGAGAACCAATCTAGAACTAAGGAGAAATTTCCTGACAGAGCAATTAATCAGTGAAATGAGTTCCCTCCAGAAGTTGTGGGTGCTCCAACACTGATGATTTTAAAGAAAACATTGGACAACTATTTGTCTGAAATAGTGTAGGGTTTCCTGCTTGGGCAGGGGGTTGGACTTCAAGATCTCCAAGGTCCCTTCCTAACTCTGAATTCTCCAGCCAGCCATGCTAGCAGGGTAATTCTGAGAATTGTAGTGTTAACTTCTTAAAGTTGCTAAGGTTACGAAACACTGGTTTAAAAGAATTCACTATCAAAGTTTTAATTTGAAAAAATAAATGAATAAAGTTATATGCAATAGATATGTCTAAAGATTTATGAAATCTGCTTAAATATAGAGAGTTCTTGAAACTTATTGTTGAAATGAAGAGGAGTTAAATATATCACATTTTGAACAGGTTTTCCTTTGCATGTACATATTATGGTATCTTCCCCAGGAAAACAATTCAGTAAATTTTAATCTAACTGTAGCTATAAATCTACTATGGATATAAATACTGAATGTGGACAAAAACATGGGTGTGCCAGCAAGCGATGCATAAGTAACATATTTTGATTAGCTTTAATGTTAGTAACAGGAATTAAGATTATATGAAATAAAAGTGTCCGACCAAAACAGATTACAAGAAAAAATAGATAATGTATCCCTCAGATTGAATGTGATTCCTGGAGACTATATGGACATATTCATGTTTCTTGGTAACAAGGCCAAAGTGGTTGATCTTTTTTTTAAAAAAAAAAAGCTTTCTAGTTTAATCTACAACCCTATGATTCCTTTGTGGTCACCCAGTCCAAATATGATTTAGATCCAATTATCTTGTTTTTGAGTTTAGTTAAGGCCACTGAGATGTTGCCACTTGCTTTGACTCAAAAGAATGAAATCACATATAGTGATTTCACTTACAAAGTTTTCAGAGGAAATGAGGTGCAACAGTTTAGCCTGGACCAAATTCAGGATAAAGAAAATATAACTATAAATGATTTAGGCTTCAAAGGACTAGTGCTGTTTCTTAAAATATTTTTTTAAATTTATGATGATATTATAGAGGCATCCCCGTGGTATCAAAGTCCTAGTTTTGATTAGGATTGTTAAACTGTCTCTTTACATTGTATTGTTTTAGATTGTAGAAGGCTGGAATAATCTCACACAGGTACCTCAGTACAAAAAGCTGTCTTTTTATTAAAAAAACTACCTGAAAAGCTATTTTTCTTTGTGCAGAGAAAGTTTTCTTCATAAGGTGTCATCAAAGCCCTGATTTTACTGAGAATAGAGCTTTTTCCTGGGAGAGGTACAAGTGCCCAGTTGTGGAATAGTCTATATTCTGTCTGAAGTGTGTATGTTTCTGGGTGAGGGAGGGCACTAAATTCTTAATTTAGGTAATTTGTTTAAGATGAAAAATATCCAATAGAAATTAATCAATTCTGCAACAATTAAGATTCTGAGAATCTTAAAATCCCATAAATTAAAGAAGTCAGACAGAGGAGGAATGTAAATGAATTTCTCTCTTAGAGAAATGTTGAAACAGGCAAGTTTTAACTGCTTTCCTTAATCCAAATAATGTTGCTACAAATTTAATCTCTAGAGGAATGCTATTTTTGAGATGGAGGTGGGCAATGGTGGGGAAATATTTATTATTTTAAGTAATATTCATTATTTTAAACATTACAGTGTATAGATATACACCTTACTCTATCTAGCTATCCATCCATCTGTCCGTCCGTCCGTCTGTTCATCCATCCAGTATATAACTTAAAATTAATGGTGAGAAGATACTCTTTCACTTTCTAAATAAACAGTATGTCACAAGAAAGCCAAATATGTTATTGCATATTTAGTTTTAGTAGATTTCACACCAAATCCTATTTTTTAATGTATTTTGGAATATTTCACCACATGCTATATATAGAAGACATAATCAATAAATGTCCTACATGCAATATTGGACAAAGTGAAAATGATGTGGAATAGGGAGAAAAGCCTGTGACTTTCAGATGTTGTTGAATTACAACTTCCACCGCCACCCACAAAATCTATGATGAGGATACTGAGAATTGTATAGTAGCACAACAAACATTTAGAGCCTCACAAGGTCCTCACTCTGATGTAGCATCAAGAGCTATTAAGCAAGATGTGCTTCTCTGTTCTATCAGCCAAAGCTTTGAAAATCTGTATATTTCACCTGATGGACTTTGAAATAATAAGGGAGAAGACTAATAAAATTTACTCTGATTATTCATAGTTGTGGCGTAAGATGCAATCCTGTATCTATTGCTAGTCTCTACTGCTTTAGCATAGTCTAATAGTGATGTCTCCCTGTAGATCCTCTTTAAAAGATAGAATCCTGTGCTAGGTTAGAGAACCACTATTTGAATTCCTGACAAGGAAAGTAGTATAATAATTCTTGTTGAGATAGGAAGCTATAGAAATCAAACAAATAAAATGTTATTTTCCTGACACCAATGCAGGGATTTGCTATTCTTTTTTGAATTTTCAGGCTAGTTTTCTATAGCCCAGCAATTTCTTGGTAGTCGCCAGGTATTACTCAAGCCAGACCCTTTTTAGGTGTTATCAACCAAGGTTGGCTTGCTTCTGCTACCTGATCAACCACCCTGTCTGTATGTTATAGGAATAAGAAAATGTATATTCATTTACTTATGTTAAATGGATAGGAATGGAAAATGTACGTCATGATATTGTCACCCTGCATATTTTACCCCTCCCAAACAACCATTATCCAAAATATGAATGGGAAAACATAAGTTTTACTAAAGAAGAGATAGACATATTTTAGAATTTCTGGAGTTAATTGCAGTTATGCATCCAGGTATCATGTAAGTAGCAAACCAGTAAGAATGATCATGCTGGGATGATCATGCTGGGCTGCAATAATCAAATTTGGGGAGAGATTCTGCTTCAGCTTTCCCCAATCTAGTATTCCTCAGCACATCCGAAGGTCAGTTAGAGGAAGGTTGGATTATATCAGGATCTCTATTGTATTGGATCTTCCCATGGTGTTTGCAGGAATCCAGGTCTGACAGATAATTTCAAGTTGGGTTGACTCAGCCTTCCATCCTTCCGAGGTGGGTAAAATGAGAACCCGGATTGTTGTTGGGGGCAATATGCTGACTCTGTAAACCGCTTAGAGAGGGCTGAAAGCCCTATGAAGCAGTATATAAGTCTAACTACTATTGCTAAAAGAGAGAGAGAGAGAAAGAGAGAGAGGGAGGGAGGGAGGGAGGGAGAGAGAGAGAGAGAGGGAGAGGGAGAGGGAGAGGGAGAGGGAGAGGGAGAGGGAGAGAAGAGTGTGAAGCAGCCTGTAAGGTCACCAAAAAAAGAATGATGCTTCTGTTATTTTTCATTTGTAACAAGCAAGGAACATTTCTATTGGAACCAAGTATTGTTTTGCAAAGACACAAAATTTTCCATGATACATTGATTGGATATACAAAAAGAGGCCAGATCTATATGCTTCTCTTATCGTTGTCAAGACTATTCAGAATGGAAAGGTTGTTAGGAAAGACCCTGCCCCTAGTTACATTAACACAAAATATACCAACCCAGTTGTAACCCTCTTCACAACAACTGCTTCTGCTTTTGTTTTTGATAAGACAGAAGAGTACCAGTAATTTTTCAGGATTTTAAATGAATCTTTCAATGAAAAGATCTTTTGAATCTTTTAAAAAGACTGGACATTTACAAAGCACAACTTGATTATTTCCTTTTAGATACAGTATAGGTAGTCCTCGATTTATGACCACAGTTGAGCCCCAAATTTATGTTGCTAAGAGCAACAGTTGTTAAGTAAGTTTTGCCATAGTTGTTAAGTGAATCTGGCTTCCTCATTGACTTTGCTTGTCAGAAGGTCGCAAAAGGGGATCATGTGACCCTGGGACACTGCAACCGTCATGAATATGAACCAGTTGCCAAGGATCCAAATTTTGATCATGTGACCATGGGGATGTCATAAGTGTGAAAATGGTCATAAGTCACTTTTTTCAGTACTGTCGTAACTTTGAACAGTCACTAAATGAATGGTGATAAGTAGAATGTAGTTAAAATGGGCACTCGGTGTCAATATAAGGTATATCTTCCAATATCAGATGTGGACAAATTTGGGAAGGTCATTCTCTACATGGTCATGTTAAGAACATTCAAAACACCTGGCCAAAGATTATTGGAGACAGAAAAAAAATAGAAGGCATGAGATCTTGCTTTAATACAACAAAAGTCTTAAAAGACAGGCAAGACCTGAGCAAAGTGGGTTTTTTTCCTTAGCTGTTCATGGTCGTGTTCCCCCCCCCCCCACAAAAAAAAATCTATGTGTTGAAGTACAATGCTTAGATGCTCTGTCTTATCATGTCCCTAATCCTATTTTTTTAAATATGAACACTCTGATGAAAGTAAGTTGTTTTTCTAATTGCAGGGGAAAACTAATGTAGTCTTGTAGTCCAATTCATTTTAAATATACTGTGTATCCTAAAAGGTAAAGGTTCCCTTTGCACATATGTGCTAGTCGTTGCCAACTCAGTGGCTAAGATGCTGAGCTTGCTGATCAGAAAGGTCG